GCATTTAACATTCACCCAATCAAATGCACGGACACGGCGCTTTCACGGTCACACAAGGCACGTACTGGAGAATTTACAAATCCCGTTGAACCAATCAAAGACTACGATAAGTCAAGATTCATCCAACAAGAAACTGCGGACACGGTGTTTTCACGGTCACGAAGCGGCAAATACCGGAGATTTCACAGTCATATAAAATCTGCTCTAAAAAAAACAATCATACCTTCTTCCCACACTGATGGCCTTTCATAATCAGGAATCCTATTCAACAATATGTTTGGTCCAGTGCGCCTCGGACCAAACGCCCAGATATTATCAATAGCATCTTTCCATTCATTGCCAGCTTTGTTAAATAACTCTTTCAGCTTGTCATAAAATTCAACTATTTCTTCCCTGTACTTGTTGGTCATCTGTGTTGTATTCTTTCTTTTCTCTATATTACTGCTACCGGAACCGGAAGTTAAATCTTTGATAACCTCGGTTTTTGTTTCGAGGAAGCTAGTGACATCCTCAGGGAGCGGTACGGCTCGAATATGGATGGTACATTGTTTGTTAGCTGTTTTGATTTCAACCAACGTTTTGTCTTTAATTGGAACATTTTTATATGTATCGGAGCTTGCTTCTGAATGGAATTGCTTTGCTGGTTGTTGGGGAAGGTCTGCTGTTGAATAAGCATAGCGTTACTCAAAGTGATCCTCAGTTTATAGCGCGTCATTCATTTTTGAAACAGGCTTGCCGACTAACAGACTTACAGACTAACCACTGTCGCAGGAGTAAATCATGGTTAAAAAATCAACAGGTAAGGAGACTACTTGTAGTAGACTCAAAAAGCGGGAACGAATCACAAGACTTAGAACTTCAAGGCGTCGACTTACCTGTTATGGCCTYTTTAACCATATCTACTTTGGGTGGTAACACAACAGTTTCCCGGAATGGTATTATAGGAGCAGATACGTTGAATGGGACACATGCAAATCTTTCTTTGAGGTCAGCGACACATCTCTCCAAATGAACCTCACCGGCAGCTATGATCACGTGCTCACCTTTGTCAATAAAAGGAACATTAATCATCAAATACTTTTTACTTCAAATAAATTTTATTGATACCCTGAAACAACCTCTGAGCTGATCAAAGTTAAGGCACAGCTAACTCACAGACCAAATCCTGAAACAACCTCTGCGCTGATCAAAGTCACGGCACAGCTAACTCACAGACCAAACCCTGAAACAACCTCTGAGCTGATCAAAGTTAAGGCACAGCTAACTCACAGACCAAACCCTGAAACAACCTCTGGGCTGATCAAAGTTAAGGCACAGCTAACTCACAGACCAAACCCTGAAACAACCTCTGGGCTGATCAAAGTTAAGGCACAGCTAACTCACAAACCAAACCCTGAAACAACCTCTGGGCTGATCAAAGTCAAGGCACGGCTTACTCACAGATCGAACCCTGAAACAACCTTTGGGCTGATCAAAGTCANTGGGCTGATCAAAGTCAAGGCACGGCTTACTCACAGATCGAACCCTGAAACAACCTTTGGGCTGATCAAAGTCAGGGCATGACTAAAGGCGCGGACACACGGTGCAACATTGCACGCAACAAATTTGAATCGGGGTGACAGACGTCGCAACAAAATCACGCAAAATCGCTTGTGTCAGCCTACTTTGCTATGAAATTTGGTCAGCGCTTATGAATTTGGTGCAAGCTGATTGGCTGGAAATTTCAAAATGTTGCACGCAATGTTGCAGCCATGTTCACACAATAAAATTTGTTGCGCGCAATGTTGCAAGAGTAGAGCGCGATTCAACTTTAGTGTGTTAGGATTGAAAGAGGGTGGTAAACCGGAGAACCGGGAGAAAACCCCTTGAATCAAGGGAGAGACCAAATAAACTCTACTAACATATGACGCTATGTCTAGCTGGAAATCGAACCGACGAAAATTACCCTTGATTCCCTTAATGAAATACGACATTTTATTGATAATATCGAAAAAATGATAAAAACAAAGCGAATCTCATATAAGTCGGAGAAATTAGTCAAATTCGTATCGTGGCATACATGCTACAGATCGGTACTAAGCAATTCCAGTAATAAGAAAAGCGCACTAAAAGTGTGGTAATATTGGCAACAAAATCAATCATTATTTTGCGCAAATTAAAGTTATGCATACTATTAAATCAAAATGCTTGGATTTAAGAAATATAGTACCATTTCCCCGTTTTAGATGCTCTCATCTAAGCACACGGGATGCTGAGAGAACGCTAGTGAAATGTAGGAAGCCCTGAAGAAACCACGACGCAAAGCGGAAAAAAGGTTGAAATCTTTTACAAAAATATCCGACCCCTACTACAGACCTGTGCTTTGAACGAGAGTTTCCACACATGGATCAGCCTGGTTCAACAGCCTCATTCCTCGAGCTAGAGCAGGCATATCTGCATAATGCACGGGTTCTACAGCCACGCGAACGATTGGTTTTGCTTCCATGTGAAGCGCTGTAAACGAGGGGCACATTGCCGTGCTTGCGATGGTGGCTGACTTTAGTACATGGTTCTGTAGGCCGCCAATACCTAGCACATTTCCAGCAGGCACAGAATCGAGAGCTTCTAGTTCTCGTCCCATCAAGAGATATAGATCATCTACTGTGAATAACGCTACATGTTGGTTGGTTCCTCTGTCGACGGACTTGGCCGCGAATAAGCCCTCGTCCTTGAGGTCTGACTCGCTGTTGGAAACAGAAACAGAACATTATGCTGACAGTATAATGACATTTATGTCGAAACCATGTTAGTACCACGCGGCCTCTTTCCTAGTATTCTCGCAGTCGAGCAAGTTCACTGTAAAATTATCCCACCACCACCCCTGCGGCCTACCTGTTGGATTATCGTATTTAGTTATTCTAGGTGTGGCGTGTTTTTTCTCGCCCCACCTTTGCCGAAGACATCGCTTCTTTGGGTTTTGGTATTTTGTACGATTATATATGTTCATTGATTATTAAACTTGCCACTAGCGTGACCAAAATTAGTCCAAAACCAATGTCTCCTGTCTTCTCTCTTGCAAACTAGTTCGTCGCGATGCAAGCCCTAGACGTTAGTTAAACTTTAGTCTAATTAAACTTACAGAATGTTTCGACATAAATATTTTTGTGAATTTTTATAACTGATATATATAGTCCAAAGTCTATGAAGCGGCCATCTTCGGGGAGTTGTCACTTGCACGTGACGTCAAAGCAGCTCATTTTGAAGGACAAAACAAAAGAATGTCAATCCCCTGAGAATTGGAAACCCATGTTATGTCCTCCAAATAGGACGTTTGCATGATGGCGTCACTGACCTCTACTTCCAGACTCCCTTGCACACTTTCTTTTATTCAGTTAATTAGCTCCAATTGTCTTACTATTCTCATAGGGAAATACAAATTTGAATAAGAAAGAAAATTCGCGAAGCATTATGGTAGTGGGAGTCAAATGACGCCATCATGCAAACGTCCTATTGAGCTGCATTCCAACGTACTGCAAGGGATCAATTTAAAGGTTGGTCTCAATGTAAAAAACTTCTAATAAAAGAAACATTTAAATCGTTCAAGCAGGCTCCAAAAGCCGGGTTCCCTGTGAGCCCCCTCTGTATCTCTCCGTGATAAGTGCAATAATAAGCCTTACTTTGTTAGGGGCGTATCTTCGGTGTCACCGTTTAGGGGTTGAACATCTTCTTCTTGAAGAGAACTAGGGTCATGTTTGGGGCCCAGCACGTATAAACACTTTCCTTTTCGGATCGTCCCGCTATACACTCTTGCAAAGGCCATAAAGTGCGTCTTCGGTAGAGATCCTCCTTCAATATCCTCGGAAGTTTTGTGCGTTATTTCCAGGCTTGATATATCGGTTGTTGGATCATCGCTAGCGGTGGTTTTGTTGGCTTGGTTTGACAACATTTCGGCGTGTTTTTCTCGAGCTCGTTCTCTTCGCAGTGCGATTTCCTCTTGCGTCAATGGCCTGGTAGTAAATAATGTTCAATAAGATTTTTTAAAGGAAGATGGTAATAACTAATCAATGATGCTGATGGTTGTGGTGGTGGTGGAGATAATATAGACTTTAAGATTTGCAAAATCTACGACGGCGACRTCAACCGGAAGTGTAAATAATTTCTCTTTGGGGTTCTGTTCATTGGAGATTCCCTTTGTAAACATTGTCAGTAAAGTCAACTCATTCACAGGAAGACAAAATTTGAAGGCGCGAAATTCCAAAGTGAAGTTGTTTACACTTCCGGTAGACGTCGCCGTCGCAGATTTTGCAAATCTTAAAGTCCCTAATGTTGGTCATGGTGATATGATAGTGGTAACGATGGTAAAAAGAACTTTATTTGTACCCAATATTACATTTTTTGTTCTAACTTGATACATTATTTTATGTTAAAACAGATTGAGGGGTACCAACTTCCAAAAATAACTAGAAAGCTAAAAATGCTTGGAAGTTGGTAATATTGACGATAGTGGTATGATACTATCGACAATAGTTGTATGATGATGGCGATGACGATAGCGATGGTGGTATGTTCCATGGTAATGATGATGATGATGATGGTGATGATGATGATGAAGAAGAACACTATAACTAATTGGGGGTCTTAAGACTGGTGAAGTGGACTGTCAAATCCTAAAAACAATCTTAATAACTAACTTTCAAAATTGCTCATTTTTCTAATACATTTCACTATAAAACGTCCCGTAATTATTAATCAATAAAAGATAATCAATAAAAGAACGCAATATAAAGAAATTCTCCTAATGAAAAAAAGTCTGTCCCCCTCTTATAGCTCGTGTGTTAGTTACGCGTACCGTCTTTTGTGCTTGGGCAACAATCGGTCTTCCACAGGGAACATCTTCGAGACAAAAACGATGACTGGAGCGTTCTCATCTGAGCTACAGGCCAAGAAATCTGTAGGGAATAAATCAAAAATCATTAATTATCATCATATTTGTTAGAATAATTTTTATTTGAATTTTTTCTCCTTTCTTAATTGTAAATTTTTTATTTTTCATTTTCCTCTCTCTTTTTTCCTCTTTCATTTTCTTTACTTCCTTGACTCCATTCATTCTTTCTTTCTTTCTCTTTTCCTTCCTTCCTTCCTTCCCTCCTTCCTTCCTTCCCTCCTCTCATTCTCAATTTCCTATCTTAGCGACGTTTCTTTCTGGCCTAGCCACCTTCTGTACTGAGTAAGCAAAATAAATCTTCCCTTCATACCCACATACCTTTCTTAAGATTCTTAGTTTCTTGTGGCAACGAGTCAAATGTCCTCAACCCATTACACATGAGCTTCTCAACCCTCTCTTCTACCAACTGCAGTGGACTGGGTAGTTTGTTAACCGCCATGGACAGTAGTGCTGAAGACAAGGGTAACCACTGACCAAGTATAGCGCGGAGGCATACACGTGGGTCTGTGCTGCGACTGTCACGTGATGAAAGCTTCAGGTTAAGCGATTTCACGATCTGCTCTGTCTTGATATCATCTCTAAGACAAAATGATATTTGGTTGCTAAGATTTTTTCTCTCCTATATAAAAACTATAGAAATGATTTATCATTGGTCTCTAGCTTAAAGGAAGGCAGGAAAAAACCCTGAGTCCCTGATAGGAACCATAATTTTTTCCTGAGTTCTTTTCAGCTAGAGACCAATGAAAAATCATTTCTATACTACTTCCCAGCTTATAAATAATTTCATCATATATAACATACAAACGATGTTGAAGAAACTTGTGCCACCTCTCAATCTTGCCGCTACAATCATGGCCCGTTTCATCCCTGGCCCAGCTATTACTATTCTCCTTTGCAGCAACTCTTAGTGCGGGTCCGATTCAATTTTCGTCCGACACTAAGAACAGCTGCAAAGGAGACTAAGCTATTACATGAGCTGAGTTGCTTGTTTAGAGGGGTTTTCTCTAGTTCCAGATTCTCTGGTTTTCTTCCCTCTAAATTCCAATGGGATCTAGCTATAAACGCTTTTAATTAAATTCCAATAGGATCTAGCTTTGAATACTTTTAATTAAGTCAAGAACCTATGGCCCAAGAGACTGAGTGTTCGATCGACATATTACAATATATTACAAATAAGTAAGCTTACCTTCTCATGACAGCCTCATAAATGGCCCAAATATTCTGCAGCACAAACTGCACAAAAAGAGGTTTTTTCCCTTTGCTCTGCGCTTTCTTGAAAATTCGTTTGCTTTTGGGATCAAGATAGAAATCACCCCAAAGAGTCTTTCGCAGGATCTCGGCATTCAAACCAAGCTTCTTGGAGTAAATGGCCACAAAATCGTTGATGCTAGATTAGAGATTGTTATACAGTTGAAGGTGTTATTCATTAATCACAGATGTAGTTGTTCCAAAATTTTCTTACTGACATAGTTTTGTGTTTAGTTACAAACTGTGCATTCACAAACTTAGTTTCTCTTCAGCTTGTTGTGAAATTTTAGTTTTCCCCAATATAGGGATTGTAGATGTAACATACTGATGAAAAAGTGTTGTTGTAAAAGGGATAGGGAAGAAAGGTCAGGCAAAGACAAACCCATTGTATAACCCCCCCCCCCTCCCCTACCCACCCTCTTTAGTCATAAAACACAGAGGAATTTATCTAATGAAAAAGAGGACAATTATTCTTACCTAAATCCCCAGCCATCAATTGCGCTTGCAAAAACAACATTTCCTTGATCAGGAGAGAAATACAAACTAGAATCATCTTCTTCCTCCAGTCCTGAGCTCCAGTGTTCAATGGACACTGCTGTGTCATCATCAATGTTGCAACGGTTTGCATTCTTTGTGTTCTCTACTTTTGTCGAAGACTTCTCCATCACTTGAGAGCTGAATAGTTTTCCAGTTACAGCATTGACCTAAAATTAACATAAATCAAATGAAAACATGTAAGAACTGTTAGTAAGAATAATTAGTAATCTATTAAATGACTTCATTTATTTCATTTATTACATGTACAGACAGGGCAGTAAAACGGGTTCTACTTTCGACGATTATGCGTTAATAAGCTTTATATTTCATAAACAGGCTGATTAACAAAATACCAAAATTTTGGGAAATTTAAGGGATGCATATTTGAGATATAACGCCCTGAACGTTGGGAGAGATGATAATTTTATCAGCACAAAAACTAACATTTTCTCTAATACTTTGAAGTAGAATTGCTTGAGGTTAGCAGAATTTTGTGAAAAGTTTAAAGCACGAGAGACACGAATGAAACTAAACGTTTTTTAGCATGAATGAGAGATAAAGAAAAAATTGAGAAAGTAGCAGCCTTGTCGTTTTTCTGCTCTGTCACATGTACATTCTTACAAGACTTAAACCTACTTGTTCAAGGATACGTTGAATGTGGAAGAAGGCCTCTAAAGTGGAATATTTCAGCTCTGTTATCAACCTGTCGATCTTGTTTAGCACTAAACATGGATGGATATTTTCAAGCCAGGCCTGTCTCAGAACAACTTGTGTCTGAAAGATATAAACAAAGAGTTATTTAGATGTATTCATTTATTTAGCTGTTACCACACTGTAATACTGTAACTTTGACAAGTCCAGTCTACATGTAGCTGTTTGGGTAAATTGTTTGCTTTCAACACTCATAAAGATACATGGAAAGTAATTCAAGGGCGGATCCAGGGGGAGGGTCGGGGGGTCGCGACCCCCCTGTCATTCCTGAGGTCAAATGGGCTTCCTGTGGTAAAAATGCTACTGGGATTCCTTTGCCCACAAAATTTACCCCTGAGAACCCCCCTTCAAAAAACCCTGGATCCGCCCTTGTAATTGATATTCAAAAGCATGAATGAAAAAGCAACTAAGTTTCCTGAATATTGAGCTTCTTCTTCGGGTTCCTTCTACAGTTTACATAATTCAATAGAAAAAAAAAAGATCAAAAGATAACAATAAAACAAAGCTAACAAAAAAAATCAATGGTTTTGTGGTACATGCAGAAAGACCAGAATATTGATATAATTCATCCACAAAAGATCTTATTTTTTAACCTGAGGTGAGACTCCTTCCACAACATCAACAACAACTAGTGCTCCATCACATAGCCTAACTGCTGTGGATACCTAGAATGACAGTAAAAAATATATCAATAAACCAAACATTAATCTTATTGAACCCTGAAACAATCAATGGGCTGATCAAAGTCAGGGCAAGGCTAAATCACAGCTTGAACCCTGAAACAACCTGTAGGCTGTTCAAGCAATTTAGTAATTTCTATCTGCAGTCCGATAACCTGAGATAACAGATCGCAAAATGACAAAAATATTTTTAATATATATAAAACAAGATAAAAAGTAAATAGGAAAATATAAAGTTTTTTACTGAGCCAAATTTGCTCTAGATAGAGAAAAGCTGTGTCCCCGGTCCATTTAATCAAGCTAGACCCAGGGCACAGTTTTCCCCTATCCCAACCTATTGGCAGATAAATAACTTCTAAATAACATTTTAAAGTGCCTATCACCCTTCTGACAATATTCACAGTATTGATTCTACATGGGGTAAGATGTTGAATAACCTGAAAAAATTTATAGTTTGAGTGCAGCTTCTTGAAGTTATAAAACTGGTTTTTCCATGCCATATGCTAATGCTGTGACACATGAGGAGTAATCATTTAATATATGTACAAAACATTACTCAGTGGCACAGATAAATTAAATTTGAAATCCGTCATTGTTTTCCCCATTGCTCTTATAGAAATTATTTCAGGTTAGTTGTCACATAGTAGCCTGTGTTTTGAATGACAAGTAACAACAAATAACCATAAATGCCTCCTCATACATCACAGCATTAGCATATGAAATGGAAAAATCTTTATACAGCTGTAACTTCAAGAAGGTGCACTCAAACTATGAAATTTTTTCTTACCTCTTGTAGAACCAACACTGTRAATATTGTCAGAAGTGTAATAGGCACTTTAATAATACTTCACTAGAAAAATCCACATGACCAGGGGAGTCAATTAAATTGATCAGAAATTCTTTATTTCCTATAAGTAAAAATTAGTAAAAGAGATGGTATTAAGCTTGCTCTTGTCCTTAGAATTGGTTCAAATTCAGCTGATTTTACTTTCACATATATATGACGACTGAGAAGATCATCATAATTATGAATTTTATCTATGCATCATGTTTAAAATTACTTTAAGAATTTTAAATGATCTACCTTCAGTGTAGTGCAAGGAGATAGCACTGGACTTCATTGTTATTCCTCTGATTTGCTCATCTTCTCTACTGTCCATATACCTTAGCTGTAAAATCACAACAAATAAATGAACGAACAAATGAACAAACAAACAAACAAATGGACGAACGAATGAATGAACAAACAAACAAACAAACCATTGAACGAACAAACAAACAAACAAACCATTGAACAAACAAACCATTGAAAGAACAAACAAACAAAAACAAAAAAGGATGAATGAATGAATGAATGAATGAATGAATGAATTTAACAAACACCACATATGTATTAGGAGAATTATTAATTTCATACATATGATCACAATAGATGTAATAAATCATTTTAGTACTCTCCAAAAACTGCTTTTGTAGTTTTTATTTATTTATTTATTTATTTTTGACTTACATGTACATACAAAACGTTGTACATGCACATTTCAACAACATCTTTTTAAATTTTGTTCAAGAATTTTTTTAAATCGATAATTCAATTCTACAATAATTTATATAGCATTAAAATAAAAACATATTCGCTTCATACGTACAAACCTTCTTACATTCATGTACAAACATGAAAATTTCGCGAAGCCACATAAAAGTATAATCATAATATTAAGATTGGTAAAATCTATCAATCTTATTACTGTATACCGTGATTAAAAGAGTACTTACCTTTCCGGCCAGCCGCGAAGAAATAATCCCATTACTAGCAACAAGAGCATCTGCTAACGTAGTTTTTCCTATATAAAAAGCTAGAGTTAGAAATAAGCTCCGTAATATAAAATTGAAAGACAGACTGACTAGCAAAAAATATATCTTGGTCACAACACTCACCATGGTCTACATGGGCTAAAATACAAATATTTCTTATATTCTTGGGATTTCTTTGAAGCAAAGAAATGTGTTCAGCTGATGCCGTTCTCATATTAAAAGAATTTTATAATAAAAAGTGATAGGAAGAGAATATAAACAATTTGTGATATTAGTTCAATCCGTCCGCCATCTTTCTTCAAATGGTGCAATGTAATGCCCGCGGTACTTTGATTTAGCGGTATCACATTTAAAATATGCGCAGGAGTGAGTCCCAGTGCTAACCGTGTTTGTGCACTGTCATTCTCAAGAACTTCTTTCAAAATGGTAAGAAAAATTGTCGAATTTTTACACTAAATTGATTCAATTAGAAAACTGATTCATATACATCGGCAGCCGAAGTATGTAGTTAAGTTTATGAGCCTATTTTTTCATCCTTTGGCTTGTTTTTAGGAAGTGAAAATCGCCTTCGTATCGCACGTGACCGGCTATGATTTTACTTGGAGTTTTTCTTTAGATCAAAAGCTAGTAGAAATCGCTTTTGAGAAATGTCACTTAACTAATGCTGTAATTAACTTTATTGTAACAGTCTCGAAGATATGATACGAGAACGACTATCTTCTCGCCTGAAGGTACGTAGAAGGAAGTAAACATAAAACGTATACACCATTTTCAAATTTCAAACCATGCATTTTTGTTTGTACATGAGATAGTCTTTGTACTTGTGAGCTTGTATTTTGCTCTAATTTTTTTGCTTATATCATAGTGATGCTACTGTCATTTTTTGATGACTTTTAATCTGAATGTTGATATTTATGGTTGCATAGAGTATAAATATACAGGGTAGCCTAAGATATGGAGTGTGTGTGTTTTTTTTTGGGGGGGGGGGGGGGGGAGAAGAATAAGGAACTCAATTCTAAACACCATTATAATGATTCACCTTGAACCTCTAGTATGGGAAATGAGTCTTATTACTTTCTATCAAGCCATATTATTAAATGAACATATGTAATATATCAACTAAACAATGTAGTACAGTACTTATATAGTCAAAATAATTGCTTAAAATACCCATGATGACTTATAAAAGTATTATTATTTTATTCTCTAGGGCGTCTTTACCAGGTTGAATATGCCATGGAGGCTATAGGTCATGCTGGCACTTGTCTAGGAATTCTAGCCAATGATGGTATTGTCTTGGCTGCTGAACGACGTAATACAAATAAGCTTTTAGATGAAGTGTTTACTTCAGAAAAGATTTATAAACTTCATGAGTAAGTCAAATATCCAAATACCTTCAGATATTCTCTCTTACTCAATAAGTAGCATTTTCAAAACTGTAAAATTTGCCATTGTAACCAAAAAAGGTTTCAATGGAAGTCAATTAGAAAAATGCCATGGAATTCGGTTGGGGAACATCTTGAGAATGTGTTCATTACAGCACAAGGTGCAAAAGTATGACTGGTGATAATGTATTCAGACACACACTTTGGTACCTTAAACTGATACATTTCAATGCAAAGCTGGATGGTTTTACCGAATAAGGCATGTAAAAGCTGGTTTGGCAGCAAAAAAGTACATCAGGTATAGGAGTATGCCATTAAATGTGGTCATACTTTTGCGTTTCCAGCCATAATGACATCCATCAAAAAATAATTTATGACAAGATCCTATATGGAAAAGAAGAGTACAGTATAGCAATAATTTCTTTACATACTGTACATAAGCCCAAAAGTTTTTATACAGAGTCATAGTCAGAACCTGGCCATGGGTAAATGTAGATGGCTTGTTATCTGGATAACACTAATATTTCATTTCATATTTTCTAATTAGATTTTTCTTTTGTAGTGACATGGCTTGCAGTGTGGCAGGTATTACATCTGATGCCAATGTTTTGACAAACAAGTTGAGACTCATTGCCCAAAGGTTTGTGTATAATATACTATATGTAGCAATTAATAAATTAATATTTGATTTATAATCTTGAGCAACATTATAGTCAAAAGTGTTTCCAACAAAGACAATCAAAGACGTTTACACACCAAATTTGACGAGAATCTGACAAATATCAGCTGGGATATGGACATTTGAATATATGACTACCCATACAAATCACTGTAGTATTTTCTGCTTAGTTCTAACTGTTTTGAACTAAGCCGAAAATACAGTGATTTGTATGGGCTACATATTCAAATGGTCATATCCCAGCTGAAATTTGACCAATATTCTCATCAAAATTGGTATACAAAGTCTTTTGGAGATTGAAAATAATTAGAGTCAAGATTCATTTTTCCATGACGTCACACTTAAGTACTCTATGAAATGGTTCTCAGTTAAGAATTCTTTCACAAGTTTCAATGTAGTGCATGCCGATGACATGGTGTGCACAGACGTCTAGCTGTGCTTGTTTATTTGCACCGGTCAATGATAAGAAAAATCATCGGTTTCTAATATTATTTCAGGTATCAATTAGAATACCAGGAACCAATTCCCTGTGAGCAGATGGTCAGTTCCCTTTGTGATTTAAAACAAGCTTACACTCAGTTTGGTGGTAAGAAACTTTCATAGCACTAATAAATGCATTAAAAAGTGTCTTTCCCTTGAGAATATGATTCTTCATTTGAGTTGTATCCATATTCATGTATCTCCTTGTGTAAAACTGATAATCAAAGAAATGATACCTTTAGGAATGACGTGGTCTGAAATGGGGAAACATTATGCCCACGGTAAAGGCTGATGTCTATTGTTATATTTTATACTTCAACCTCTATTGTTTGCTTTCCCTTTTCAAGGTCTTCGGCCATTTGGTGTGTCTATACTATATGTGGGTTGGGACAGACATTATGGTTTTCAACTGTACCAGAGTGATCCCAGTGGCAACTACAGTGGATGGAAAGCAACTTGCATTGGCAATAACAGTGTGGTTAGTGATGATAGATAACATATACACCTATTTCAGTAATTGTTGTCGCACCAAAAGCCTCAAGCAACAAGCCAAGACCACAGAGAATGCTGGTACTTTTAGCTGTAATTAGTTTATTCATGGTGCATTTTCATTTATTGAATTCACAAATGGCTCCAAGCAAGGCTGCTTGAGATGATAATAATAGTGGACAGCTATAACCACTTGCATGAACCAAGAATAAATCAATTATAATTAAAAGTACCGAAGTTCTCTGGAGCCTTGACTTGTTACTCGAGGCTCTTGGTGCGACGACAATTTTCGAAATAGGTGTGCATATATAGAGAGAGCAGTTGGGTAATATATACAGTACCATAATATTCAAATCAGCGTAACCATAGTTACATGGTTACATTTTTATACAGATATTCAAACCTTACGACTGCATGATTGAATTGTACAAAAACAATAAGAAGCCATGTTGTGGTACCATCAGCAATGTCAGGGTTTTCATTACGGGTTGGGGATTGGAGAATGCTCGATATTAACTGAGTAAAATTACTAAACTACTGTACTGTAGGTACACATATTAATTCTAAACTTGATTTATTAGTTTCGCCATATATTAAACTGGAAATATAATGACTGAACAATACTGTTACATATATGACAGGGTGACTGCAACAGCGTTAAGCCAATTACTGCGGGCCCAAAAAAATGTCCAACTGAAACTTAGGCCCCGTCCGTACATTCTGCAAGAGTTACGTTTTAAACAAACTGTTTTGAAAGTATGTGGGTCGTAACAGTTGTAACTGTCCAGTGACGTTACGTAGTAACTTAACATGGCACGTTTAAATGAGTTGAGTTTGTCCATGTTCAGGTTTAGTTCATCAGCGAGAGTGTTATAAAAAATAACATTTGGACCTTTAGAATGTTTTAAGAACCCAAGTAAGAAATGTGAGCTTGCCTCAACTCTGGGGCTTGAGCTTTATATCCCACAAGCAGATAATTCCTGTGTCTTGGCATTTATCACTCCATACTAAGGATCCAATGGGTAATTTTCATACAGAATGTAATGTTTTGAATTTGGAAATTTCAATTCATAGGCTGCTGTGTCTATGCTCAAACAAGAGTACAAAGAAGATGCCATGACACTCAAAGATGCTTTACAGCTGTCAATCAGAGTCCTTAGTAAGACCTTAGATGTCACAAAACTTACCCCTGATAAAGGTATGTATACAGTCACTTGTACACAAACAATTGAAAGTCAACTAATTTTTGAGCAAAAAGAAATGAAAGTTTCATTTAAAATTTCTAAATGCATTGTTTTGCTATAATTTACTTTAGTTGAAATAGCAACACTAACCAGAGAGGACAACGAGACATCTCTTAGGATCCTCAAATCTAAGGAGGTGGAAGAATTGATTGAATTAAATGAGGAAGAAACAAAAAAAGCAGAAGAGATGAAGAAAGCATCAAAGTAAAATACAGTGTAGTGATTGTAATTTATACAATTTCCAAAAAAAGATGTTTTGACGGCAGTTTTAGTTCAGTGTAAATACAGAAAAGATCACTTTGAAAAACCTCTTTTCTGTACACATTCTTTCAGTGCACATATATGATGTAATTAATGTATGGATTGAATAAAACCAGCATTAGTCAGGTTTTTGTTTTGGGTACAAATTTAGTCAATAAAGAAACAAGATAAAAATTTCCTTCTAAAAATGCAGCACGTTCTCTCATGTATTTGCTGCTACAGCTGTATCCATCAATATTATTTTGCAACAGTCTGAGTTGGGAATTTTTGATTGATGGTTTCAAAAACTCACATGTCTAGAAGTTGTGGTTACCAGAATATGAAAATCACGAAATAAGGCTAACCCTGAGCATTTGATATTTTTCTCTTATTCTCCCTATTTCATTATACACACTGAACGCATAATTTATTACTACTATACTATGTCTATTCTTTGTGTAYATATTTACAGTGTTCAACTTACCTATAGAGAAAAAGTATTGCTCTGGGATCCTCGCAAATACCCTACATTTCATATTCCAGCTGCGTTACCAGCGTGGTTGGTCCTTGTAGTGTAGTGGTTAACACATCGGACTGGAATACCGAAGATGTGGGTTCGATTCCCGCCAAGGGCATTTGATACTTTTCTCTCATTCTCTTTATTTCATTACACACACCCTGAGTAAATGAGTCTGTAATCAACAAATGGTTCCCAATGACACATTGGTATGAATTAGAAAATAGTCTATTTCGATAGCATGAGACAAGTCCGAAAGTGAGGAACACTAAATTTTATTAATGGCAATTTTTCTTCAATGTTAAAACTGCTTGCACTAAATCCTGTTTTTCATCCATGTGTTTTGATAATGGCTTTAATTTTTTCAATACTGATATTACTACCACATGACAATATTGCCACAGTCTTTCCAACATGCTGTTCTTTAGTCTTGACGTATCCAGCAACGGCTAAGCCTGCAGAACCCTCTATAATCTAAAACCCAAGAACTTGTGTAAGACAGACATGCTAAAGTATACCACTGAAGAAATACAACATGGCATGCATTTGCTGTATGCATGTGCTGTGTGCATTGCTGTATGCATCTGTTGTGAGCCCAGTATGCATGTGCTGTGTGCATTGCTGTATGCATGTGCTGTGCGCATTGCTGTATGCACGTGCTGTGTGCAGTTATAAAGCATGCAGGAATTGTCAGAATCAAAGAGAAGTGTTCTAGGGGAAGCATGACTAGTACTGTCACTGTTTCACTCATGGCACTCTCCAGCTTATCTTCCCTCTGTAAAATCAACAGCTGAGAATATTTTAATTTAAAAATGTGGTAGTTTGTGGGTGATGGTTTTCCCCCACACTACTAGTAGGAAAGTGATAAATCTATGCAAGATTTTGTTCGAGATATGCACTGCAAGAACTCTCTGAGCAACACTTTGGCTGTGAGAACCTTGTGGCAATATAATATCGTTATTCATCATCATCATGCATCCAGGTTAACTGTCAATATAATGCTATATAGCATCTTAAATGCCAACCTTGACCATCGTCAGTGCCCTACACTTCATACTAACCATCTCTCATGCTTGTAAATTGCATTAACAAAATCTGTCATTTTCAACTCCATGTAAAGCACCTTTGATTATATCCATATAGAAAGGGTGCTATATAAATCATAAGTCATCTTACCTTATGATGGTGTTCTAAGACATTGTATATCGCTCTACTCATGTCTTCTTCTGTCACCACCACCCACTGGTCAACAACCCTTTTGCACAGGTTAAAAGTTACCTTGAACAGATATCAAAATAATGTAAACAGACAGTTAAATTAGATGCAAAGAAAACAAGATATTTATTTGAAAAAAAAACAGTGGTCAGGAATAAACCCCTAAAAGATCATATTATGTTTACGATTCTGAAAGGTCAAATAAGGTGCACCTTATATGTAAGGAAATATGGTAACTTATAAAAGAATGCTGCATTTTGATTGGTAGTGAAATTACTATCATAAATGATCTATTAGTCCACTAGTAAAAACAAAAAAAGTCTGTTGGAACATTCACATACTTTGCCTTGATTGCATTTTTCTGTGGTTTGGTAAAATTTCCAAAAATTGTTAGTAGTTGTTTCCTGTCGTTAATGACTGATCTACTCATAAACTTTCTGGGCCACAGAGTGAAAAAGACTGTTAGCAATATCGACAAGTACAGGGGCGTAGTCAGGGTGGAGCCAAGGGGCCAGCCCCCTCGGCCTCCCCCCTTGTGGCAACAAAATGGTGGCTTTTTAGAATTCATACGATAATTTTCAATTTTGTTTTGTTATTACATTAAAGCATAAAACATCCCCCCCCCCCTTTTTGGTTCTGCGTTTTGGGGCTCAAACAAAATGGCAGATTATTGAATTTGGGGACCCATTTGGAAAATCCTGGCTACGCCCCTGAAGTATAATAACATCCACTCACAGATCCTTGTTCCACACCACCAGCAGTTCCATCTGACAATGTGTCCTTGTGCGGCATCTCTAATATCTTGCCAGCTTTCTGTGATTCTGACATAACTGGAGACTGATCTGTCTCACATCCAATGATCTGATTAAAAACAGCGTTTTAAACTTTAAAAAAGGCAGATGCATTTATGCCATCCTAATATATATATTTCTATTTGTGAGGGAAACATGTCATTAAGTGCACAAATTGCTTAATATAGATTGTATGCATGTGAACTCTGATTGGTCGAGAACTGTGCTTTAATTTTTTATTTAATGGAGTACTGTTGCTGACGCCATCCTCGTGCTCACAGCAAACTCTGTAAAGAAAACTGCAACAGAATTATTCTTTCTATAAAATAAAACAAAAAAATTAAATTTTCCGTGCTCCATTCATTATAAAGCAATTAGGAAGCGTCAAAAGCCCCTACATATCTAGTATTCCTGTTTTAATTTGTTTCCTGTGAGACATAACATTTTACAATAATATACCTTGATGCTGGGTTTAACAGACTTGAGGTAGGCTGCCATACCACCAATGATACCCCCTCCTCCCACAGCTACAAATAATACATCAATCTCAGGGAGGTCTTGGTGAAGCTCATAACTGAAATATCACAGTAATCATTAATTTACTATTTTTGATAGATCTCCATGGAGTTATGAATTTATTTTATGCTGGTCATTAAACAAATGAGTAGGGCATATAATTAGCGATTCTGAGGTTGAGGGAAAAACTGGGTCGAGTTGGCACTGCAGTGCATTGTGGGACTGTTTTTGGGCCAGGACTTTCCAAAATCAACTCCTAAATTCCAATTCGATCACGGAATGAGGGCCACAGATTTGTTAGCCTCTGGCTATTAAGTGCTACCCTCATGAAAAAAGGACGTTTTTTTTAAGATGGCATCTATATATTTTGTCCCCTAAAACAGCCCCAAAATGCACTGCAAAGCAAACTCAGCCTAGTCTTTTCAATATCAACCTCAGAATGGCTAATAAAAAAGGCTGTATTTTGATTCTTAACTTTATCCATACCATGGACAGGGATAAAAATAGGTAGTGAATGGGAGTGTCAAAACCACCCCATGGGGTAGGTCAAAGCTCAAGCAAGCTGCAATATGAACTGATCTTGAAGCCAACATACCCTAAAGCACCTTGGCCAGCTATGACATCCCAGTCATTGGAGGGTGAAATGTAAGGAATTCCTTTTTCCTAAAAAAAAATCCAAATTAACTAAGAAAGGTTATACAAATTGTGATTTAATTATCTCATACAAAAACATATTAATTGATAACAAAACTCATCATACTACAAATCAAGTGTATGCTGTAAGAGATTATGGTGGTTTAAAATGATTTCCAAGGTTTCAATCACTAACAGAACCTTTGATCCTCACCTGACTGACAGCTCTTGCCTTTGATTCTGCTTCAGCACAAGTGTGACCATACTGCTCAACAGTAGAGCCAAACTGCTCGATCATTTTACGCTTGAAATCCTCTGCCATTGCAGGAACATAGATCACACCCTTGATCCCTAAGACATGCATTGCCTTGGACTACACACATGATTATTTATTAGAATAATTTAATGTATAAGTAAAAATGTTTAATATTTTATGCAACAAACTATTGTTCAAAGTATTGTGTAAAGTACTTTGTACTCCATCCCCACACACACACACACAGAGGAAAGTTGGTTTTTCTAAAGGGTGGTGAGCTAGGGTACGTGACAAGATATATAATAATTCTTGTCAGGGACTAGAGATAATAAAGGGTTTAAATCTCAATTAGAGTCATCCTGCAATGCTTCATTATCCAACTTTTAAAGGTGCTCCAAGGGGTAGGTGTTCCATGGCCTTTGCTCCCATCATAGTCTATAAGGAACTTTGGCTTAATTAAGGTTAATGGGGAGCAATAACAGTAAGGGAGGGGTGCAAAAATCAAATACAGAAGTCCTACATAGCCAATGTGCACAAGCACAAATTGCTAGCACAAAGCATGATGGGAAACTGAGTACTTGCACTTTTTAGGCTCCTCTTAAAATCTGACAATTTTTTTCTTTAATTTGATGTTTTCTATGAAAAGGTAAGTATTTCAATAGACAAATAACAGTAATTGTTTTCTGAAAGTTCCTTTGATTTA